ACCTCCGAACCTGTTATGAATGAAAAGATCCTTGTTTCTATAAATTCCTGTTGCATTAGTTCTTATTTTACTACAAGCTTTCGTCTGTTCCTACAGACATCTTTTGGTATGGAATAGATGTTGTTCTTGTTTTTTCTCTCAGTAATAAGAGGACAACGAAAATATATGTATTGTTGTATCCGAAAAATGCTATTGGAAATGAGTTATTGTTTTTGGAGCGTGCAGTAGCAACGCTGAGTTTGATTTTAAATTTTACAGTTGTGCGTTCTTGTACAAATATGGTGATAAGCGAATTTTTCATTGGTAAATTTTCTGTCAAAGTGGCATGAACTATATTGTTCAATAATTACAGTAATGTCGCACTTATTATCCAATAAATATATATATATATATATATCAGATTGGTTAAAAAGCAATGTCCGATTCCAAGGTCTTTATTAAAAATGAAAAAGCCTATGTTTATGAAAATATTTAATCTTTAACATAAGCTCTTACGTTTTCTAGAATATCATTCCATCTGTCCAGAAGCTTATAAATACCATGCCCGTAATTCCTTAGGCTTTTTAAGCAAAATATTAATTCAACTCTTTTCAATCTCTTCCCTTGATGTCAACATAAGATCATCCAAATGATTATGTAGTCCCACGAAGCAAGTGATAATCAGAAGCATCAAGGTCAGGAGAAATTGGTGTGTGAACAAATATTTCCCAACCAAGCTTTTTCAAAAGTTATTCTTTAGTCAGCCGCGTTGTGTGAGGACGAGAATTATCCTGATGGATGAAGACACTCTTTTTGTTCACGAAGGAAGGAACTTTTGGTTCAATGCTGTTTTCAAAGACAGTACTGATTAGCCGAATTATTTTTTTTATTGCTGTTTAATAGTTTGTAATGGGAAATTCCTTCATTATCCAACCATACACTCAATATGATCTTCTTGTGATGAAGTCCTCTTCTCGGTTGTTGAATTGATCTTCCACTCAATTGATCCCCAATCGGCGGCATTTAACATTATGGTAAAAGATCCACTTCTCGTCACTTGTAAACAAGCCTACCTAAAAAGTGTACCTGAAAATGTGTAAGCAATGATTCCCAAGCAACACGTACGCAGATTGACTGGAGACAATTAGTGGGAGACCACTTTCTCAGACGCTGAAACCTTTGCGATCCTTAATTGTCTCAGCACGGTTGTATCGTCTACGTTAAATTGTTCTGCAAGGTCCCTACCGGTAATGGTGGGATTGTCTGTGGCAACAGCTTTCAACTCTTCGGAATCAAGTATTTTATTTATTTATTTATTTTTTTTTTTTTTTTTTTTTGATGACCCTCTTTTTGATCGTTTTACAAACTGAAACCCCCACTTGGTAAAAATGAAAACCACTTACAGCAACTTCTTTCATTCACGGCATCATCTCCATAAGCGCTCTGAATAGACTTTGCTGATGCACTTGCATTGACACGTTTATGAAACTCATACAGCAAGATACGTCGAATGGGATCTTTAGATAGGACAAACATGGATGCAGATATTGCGGAAGATCATGAAAAATATTTTTTTAGAAAGGTATAAATTACTTTTTGTGTCATTCCTTAAATATAAAGAGAAGCACATATTTCATAAATACTATTTAAAACTTTCTTCTGAAAATCGGACATCACTTGTGTACCAAACTTATATATATATATATATATATATATATATATATATATATATATATATATATATATATATATTCAAACAGGATTCACTGAATAATATACATATTAGATATATTGATTTTTGTAATAATCCTTTCTAGTGCTTTTAATTAGCTTCTTGATCTTAAAATGAAATTCATCAAGGAAGGCGACGTAGTTTTTCCTAGCCAAGTACTTTCGATCTCCCCTGAACTCATCCAAGGGGTGAATTACAAAGACAAACATATTGTAACTGTGATCGCTGTGATGGTAATTTTTAAAAATAACCGCTAATGCGTTTTGCTGTAATTATAATAATTTAAAAAAAATATCCATTGCAACTATGGAAAATTTGCAAAACAAGCGCCCCAATATAAGGGAGTTAACCAAACATTGGTGGGAATGCAAAATGTCATTAAATTTTGGTTAAATGCACTTCAAAGCATTGCTGCTAAACTCGTAATATATTTAGTTCAGTGATAGTTGTTTGCTTTTGATATGGAAGGACTCGAGAATTCGATGGTTCCACGATATTATAATCTGTTATAAAGTATTAAACAGAAAGTTTGTTTTCAGACATATTTCCATGTACATTTATTCATCAGTTTTTAAGTGAATCATTTTTAGTCATTTTCTTTTCATTGGAATACGCACAAGCAGTATTCAATCTGCCAAATATCAAATTTCTGTAACTTGAACTTACATATTAGTGTTTAACAGTTTAGAAATGTGTCACTATGTCTAGTTTAGATTTGTAGTATCGAATATTGACTGTAGATCAATTTTACTCCTTTGGAGATGGACACATCTCCAGAACATGACTTGGACTCGTCCAAATATCATATATACTGAGGAAGTGAACCGGATTGATCGTTATATCCTTGCTATAGAATTCAGTTAGACCACGTCGAATCAAAGCATCATTATAATTCATGTTTTGGGCACCTCAAAGCGGTGTAAGGGTTAGCAAGCTTATCTCGCTAGAACGATTACGACTGAGTATTGAGTTCGATCCTCACTTATGGCCCCCTACATTCGGCCTTGTGCTACATGTAAATTACGCTTGGAAAATCATTATGATTTTATCTTCTGAATGAAGACATAACATATAGTTTAAAAATATCTTTCTGTGTACCAAAGATTATTCGCTTGAATGCTAATAATTGCATTTATATGATGCTTACTGTAAACTGGGAATTAATCAAGTACAAACGTTATGTGACTTAATATTTGCAATGTCAAATGTCTATTAACAAGCATTTCAATTGATAGATGTTACCGGGAATCATTCTGGTTCTAAAAAGATTTTGATAGATGAGAATCTTTAACGGTCATGTATTACGCCTATTTGGAAGGTTTAATTCAAAGATTACCGCCACTCGTTCTATCACTGCTGCACTGTTTTCGTTATTAATATTTAATGTAATTTTCTGCTGGCATTTAACTAGACTGTATTATATTACCCAGTGGAAAATCCTTCAGCAAAGAACGTAAATAGAGAACTCCCGAACCCAAGATGTCAGATGAAGAATGGGAGAGACAGCGTAAATTGCTGTGTTCGTTGTCTAAGATTGTGTGTGGTCGCTGAGGTAAGAAGATCAAATACGTTTTACACCTGTTTGAGACATTGCCACCGACAACAATCAGCTAATGTAGAGAATCAATTCTTCTCTAAATAGATTCTCTTAAAGTTATATCCGCTGGGCTTGCCTGGCAGTATTATGCTGATTAGATGTAATGGGATGGCTCGTCAATCTCCCCCTCGTCCTATACAATAATTTCGGTATTTAATTTTTTATATTGCATATGTATTTGATCATCATATTACGACAAGAATTGTTTACACATGTTTTCAAGTAAGTGACCAACATGTTTCTGTACTTGAGATAAACCGAGATCACCGGCAGATATGGAACGTGACTGGAGTCGGTCATTGTAGACGACGAATCAATTCAACATCAACTCGTTTGAAGCCAGAATATTTTTTGTTAATGATAAATCAGTCAACCTAACATGATACGGATCATTCAACACAACGTGGGCTCTGAAAGCATTGACAGAATGATAGCGCTGAAAACTAGCAAATATATATATGGTCACAATAAGAAAGAATATAGTAATAATTATTAACTATGATTGAAAGGACTACTAACTGTAAAAAATAGAATAAAATGACGTGAATAAAGAGATAGCACAGGCTGTGCTGTACGTATTGGAGATGCCAACACTGAGTAGATTCAGCCATTTTTCTAACTGGATTTTCATGTAATCCTTGCTTTTTCTTTGAATCGTCTTTTTTTTTTAAGATATGCGTGATCATGACATTGAACAACTTTTCATCCTTTGTACTCTTTAGTAAGTTTAGTAATTTCTTATCTCTCCCAATCCCTGATCTGCTATTAATTTACACAAGCTCGTTAATTAGGTTACTTGCTATTTTACTCTGCTACTTTTACCTTCAATATATCCTGTGGAGTTTACAGCCATAATATGTCGAAACACCTGTTTTTGTACTAGCGATTTTCAAAGCGTAGCTTAGATGTGGCACAAGGCCGAAAGTATGGGGAACCCAGTGAGGATCGAACTCACTACTCAGTCGTAATTGTTCTAGCCAGACAAGCTTGCTAACCCATTACACCACCGCGAAAAAGCTCATCTTCTGTGTTAACTTTCCTACTACGGGCACGCTTTTCCATGATCACCTAAAAGTGTTCAATTGGCTTAGGGTCAGGATTCTGACTAGGCCACAGGAAGAGTTGCCATTTACCCTCGTCACGCTTCCTCTCTAGATAACGTTTATTCCTTAAGGCAGTATGCTTAGAATTTTTATCCTGTTAGAACGGGAAACGTTGATCTTGAGCAAAAAGCTTTCCTTTAGTAGAAAGCCACATTTGATTAACAAGAATGTTGTGACATTGATGCTGATCCATGATTCCTTTAATTTTGTATAAATTACCAACTCCTGCTCCTAAGAATGCATCCCAGATCTTGATTTTTTTATCGTGTTTAACAGTCTCCTTGATAGTCACTTGTGAATTCGTTTCACTGGGTATATATCAAACACGTATTCGTTCATCATATCTAAGAATAAAGAGGACTCTCGTCACTCTACATAACATCTTCGCAATCAGATGTATTTCAGTGAAAATGAGCATTGCAACAAGCTAACCTTACCCATCGAAAGGTTTCTTTATTTATTTATTTGGAAATAATGTCTTTTGCAATAACACTGCGTCAAAATTTTCTTAAAGAAACGGCTAATCTAGCCGATTTGGAAACATCTTATGCTGCTGCGTATCGATGTTTTTTTGCATTGACGATTGAAGTTTCTATCTTCCATGTCGGTAGTTTTTAGTAGTCGTCCAGATCCGCTACGTCTATTTATATGTTCCAGTTTGATTTCTCTTTTCGTTTACCTTGCGGACACTTCCCGATATTTGACAGTCCAAGATCATAAAAAGCGGCGACTTAGCCTTTCTCGAAGTCAGAACAATGCTTAGTCATGTTAATACATGTAAATACAAATGTAAAATGCATTATATTTTGTTTATCATCATTTCTATGGGTGTGTCCATATGTTTGCCTACTACTGTACATCAAAATCAACCCCTTGGGAACTAAAATTTGAAAATCACAGTTTGGCTCCTTACAGTCCTTAATAGAATATTGTTTTCATAGGTCTTTGACATTTTTACACTCGAGAAAATATGGCCTCAGACAGGAGAAGTTTCGTTTTTATAAACAAAAAGTCTTTACCAAATTGGGACAAAGATAAGAATATGTAAAGACATATAGTTTACAATAACAGAAACAGGCAAACACACATACATATATATGGGTGAGTGTGCGTATACACACACACACACTCACACACAGACACTCTCAAACACACACACACACATATATATATGCATGCGTGTATATGTAAATATATGTACATATATATGTATATATATATATATGTATGTATATATATATATATATATATGTGTGTGTGAGTGTGTATGTATATACATATACACACACATACATGTACGTATGTATGGACACGAATATCTAAGGACACAGCTTACTCAAACAGAGACAGGTAAACATATATATGTATATATGTGTGTATGTGTATAATTATATGTATATATATATAAGCGTATGTATATATATATATATATATATGTATATATATATATATATATATATATATATATATATATATATATATATATATATATATATATAAATACTTATAGAGTATATATATATATATATATATATATATATATATATATATATATATATACGAAACAGAGACGTGTGCGTCATTTTGGATGTCGGTGCAAATCTTATAATATGCGTCTATGGTTTGATAACCGTATCACAAATTTATAATCACGGAGGACTACGCCATATTTGAGAAGTGTGGGAAGCGCTGCATGGAATCCTGGAAAATCACAAAGTCGTTTCTCCATATGCCCCAGAAAATTACGTCGGGTAAGAAGGCGAAGAAAAGATCTGATAAATAAGTACACGCAGCTATTTGTTTTAATGCCATGAACCCTTCAGGGCGTTGGTGACCATGGGTCTGCACAGATTCCTTTTCTTTATTATCTATAATAAAAATCTGAGAACCAGACTCATGAGAATCTATACGGTAATTTATTCTTTCAGCGGACAAAGACTTAGCCTCATTGAGCACACGTTTGCAATTATTATGAGCGGATATAAAGAGGTGCATATTGGGATCGGAGCTAGCACGTTGATATAGACAGAGAAAAAAATATATATATATTCGTCAGGGTCTTAATGCCTGAACAGGGAAAGGTGAACCAAAGAGAAGATTTCTCCTGGTATTTTTAGATGCCGGCTTTTATCCAAGACGAAAAATCACTGGCACAATTTTCAATAGTAAGATTAAGAATTTAATTCCAAGTGGCGTGGCGAAAAAACGAATCCCAGTGGGTATGGAGGTGACAGAAAGACATTTGCAAAATAGGGGTTCATTTCTCAAATATATCATGATATTTGACTCATAAAGCAAATATAGATTCATGCCTTTCTAAATAACCTCAATGCGAAAATGAACGAAACCGACTCGACAGCAAATTGAACTCCTCTACCTAATTCCATTTTGCAACATTATAACTGTTCCACATTTCAAAATACCGCCACTTTTTCCTTCAGTTTAGAATATTTTACTGGATTCTGGGCACGATTTGAAAACAGTACAATGTCTTGTAAGGGCTTCCATCTTTTATAAGACATCCAAAAACCTGTGTGAGATTGTATATAATTCTACATCGTTTTTTTTTTTTTTTTTTAATATAAAATATAACTTTTTGATAATATCTCATCAAAGCCGATAACACTTTGGACACATTATGTTGAAGCCCTACCGGGTAACCAGAAAAATGAACCGAACTGTAGAATAAATAAATAATTCTTAAATATATAATTTTCTTTCGTCTTTAATTAGATGTGATTTGTCAGTGTGTGTGTGTCTGTATGAATAATTGAGAATTATATTGTTTTGATGCACCTAAATTTAGAGCTAAACTGGAATATTTAAATATAATCTTAAACAGGATTACCCAGTTTAAATTTATGCACTGTTGCATTGCTGCTGGATATATATATGGGTGATGTGGTCATCAAAAGACAGCACTCTTCGACAGTGACAATTTCTAATGGATATCGTGCCACTGGCTGATCTTGCAGGACTTTTTTCAGCTATTTAGTTTAAATACTTCGAAGGAAAAGCAGATAGGCTGTAGGTGAATGGCACATATAGGGCCAAATAGTAATCGATACTCAGTAAATATTAAACTATACACTGATTTATTGAACTAAAAATAATTAAAATTATTTCCCTCGAGCCCACAGTCAGTCGCCAAAGGTATATAAACGTTATGAGAACATCCTGACATATTTAAAAATTTAGAAATCAAATTCAAACGGATTTTAATATATATTTCAAGCAAAAAACATGACTAATTAATGAAAGAAAACTACTTTTCAATGAAGATCAACATCGAAAATGCACGTGTCTAGACGTTCCATTTTTCTGCATGAACTCATCTGTTTCCCGTGTGTGTTTCGTTATCTGTGAACTAGATTCATTCACAAACTATAAAGGTTAAGATGACGTACATATTTTTATAATAGATTGTATTTTCATAATCACTGTCTTAATTTTTTGCATGAGGAATTATCCTTAGTTGTAAGATCACTATAGTTATACGAGGACTATTGTTGCCATCTTTTTATGTTGTCACAATGTTTCCACCGCTGTGTCCTACGGCCTTCAGTAGTTGATTTTTCATCTGGCTAATCTTCAGGGAATTTCAAGCTGATCCCTTTATTTAATTTACGTATTCTATGTGGAAACGGGGCGAGAAATAACTAAATGAGAATTAGATGAGATAAACCTTGGCATGAACATTAGAACGAGAACAATTTACTACGGCAGATTAAACAAAGGATTCAGTTCGAAATTACCCTAAGCCTTTTCGGATTGACAATCACCTGATTAAAGCCGAAGGGCAAAACGGTTGAAATTAATTTTCTTGAAAATATAGCACTTTTATTCTTTCGAGAATGTATTGGTCCATGATTGAAGAAGGAGATCCGAATGATAATCTAAAGGCGATTTTAACTGTGTGTCCTTTTATAAGTATCAGTTCTTTTTAATTAAGCCATAATTTCAAAGTATGTTCGACTCTATCTCCCCACCTCTCTCAATCTCTCGTGCACGCACGCCCTTACTCTCGCTTTTTTGTGCCATGATACTTCAAGGTGTATATCCAAATTGACGGAGCAATGTCGCCTCATAGGAAAGGAAAAACACTTAAAAACTTCGGTACAATAAGCATTCTATAGAATTCTTATTGTACCGATTAATATTTGATCTGTGACGAATCCGATCCGTAGCTTAAATCCTAATTTTCCCCTAGGTAGTATAGTTTAACCTAAAAATTAGTATAAGAACAACTGAACTGTTCTATCAATCTGTACAGAATAGCAATTACCAGTCACAATCTAATATTATAGTTGAAAGATTACTTGCAAATTTATATATTTTCCAGTACATTCGATGTAATATCTGACACCACTTTGGTAAAATTCATGCTTGAATCGCCCAAGTCATCGAGGAGGAACCGTAACGCTATGCTAAACAAGCAGAAAGTGCAAGAAGAAAATAGGCTGAAAGTTTACAATGCATCAGTCCCTACCTCCATATCACGATGAATTCACTAACATGTCCTGGACAGAAAGCATATCAAAAACTTGAATGAATTTCCCACGCAGAATGTACGTTCATTTCTAAGAATTACATCACCAATATTGAAGTCCTGGATAAGATGTTGGTTACATTATGTAATCTATTTTATCAAAACCCAAATACCTTGTATGCTATCTGCACAGACGAGTACATCATAATAAGATCCAGAAATTATAAAGAGGAAACGTCTGACAAAACGAAAAGATCTACCGAATGATACAAGAAAGATTCCTCCCGAACAAAACTGAAATAGTGTTGATAAGGCAAAAGGTACTATAGAAATACGCCAAATTTCCCACATTCTGGGGAATAATCCATCGATTTCCTGAAAATTTTCAGGAGCACCTACCTGAAAGTGACAGTACAGGAAAACATGCTCGTATAGAAAAAACTGACAGGGATTATAGCAATTGATGTTAGGTGCGCACACTGTTGTAGAAAATGAGCCACTGAGTTGAGGTATCACCCGAGAACGAATGTACATCCTCAATATATTCGGACAAATATTCTCAACTATTTGGGTTATCTATATGTTTGGTGGTTGCTATGATAAGCAAGAACCGCGTTGGAGAGAAAATGGAACGAAAGAAAGTGTCTCAATAAATTTTCCAAAGGGAAATGCACGATAAATCAATTTACGTATATGTAAAGAAAACATAATACCAGGGAAATATGTTATCTCAAAAGTATTAAGAACGTAAGTACTTCCTTCGATCTATACATACAAATGAAATTGAATTGTAAATATAATGATACTACATTAATAACTCTGATACTTATGGTGTGATAATTCTATAATTCGATTAGTAGTATTTTTTATATCATTAGGTAAACAGGATAACTTACACTAGACAAAGTTTGCCTCTGTGCAGAATCTAACCATTTTTTTAATTGACTCTATAAGATAACGTTACATGGCAAATTTTCGCACATGAAAACTCTGATATCAGACCTATCTGGATGTTCGATCAAATTCAAAAAACTTTTTACTGCACATTTTGACCACATTATCACAATATTTACAGTCAATATTAAGGACTTAGCCCTGACACGATTGCCATTCATGTACAATATCTAGATAAACACATAAAAAATCCAATATATGATGTGGAAATACGTTTGATAAGTTGTCAGATCTTGGCAGCCGCTCGCATCCGAGCATCGGGATCATCCTCCTCTGGTCTTATTTCTTTTCTCTTGCTTAGTAGTGGTGGCGGAGATGGC